GTGGGATTGACCGTCACGTTATAACGCCCTCACGGCTGAAAGGGGCGAGCATGTGTGGTGTGACGGGAATTCGAACCCGCAACCCTCAGATTGCGAGTCGAGCGCCCTAACCACCTGGCCACGGCTGTTACAGTTACGGTACCTACACAGACATCCATTTGCCTTGTCATTAGTTGTTTTAGCAGTAAGTAACATTGTATACGATGCAATTACCAATATCCTGTCTCATTATAATGCACACAAAGAAATAGGAAGGTCAAAGTTTTGCATTCTTAACGCAAATTAATAGTTTAACCAAGCTTCAAAAATAAATGGGATATTTAGTTAAATTTGGGAGGAAGTGCATAATGTTTGGCACAAACAGTAAGTACACCGTATGATTGTCGGAGCTCTACCTTAATCGTTATCGTAACAATTAAAAGGGGACCTAGCAATACTAACAAGCTTTAAAAAAGTTTTAATTAAACATAGCGATAAAAGTTGCCAGGGGAAATGTTTCCCTATAATGTGTAAATCTAAATGCAATAAAGATTTGTGTTATTTTAGTCCTTATAACCCTTCATTACATATAACCGGACACAGTGCAGTTAATCTGTTTCAAAAAGGGTCATCACCACCGCAAATAAAACATTTTTCAACACTCACCACAAAGTTTCGAGATTCTTTCAGAGCAAAGAGAACAAACCCGAAAGAAACACAAGTGACATTATATCGCCCATTTTTTGAACAAAGCAAACAAACAAAAAAACATAAATGACACTATATTATTACATGTAAGACGACAAACAGTCGCTTTACATCACCGAGTCAGGCCTATTTCGTTTCATTTCTTTAGCATTTCTTTCTACTCATGACCTTAATACGTTTGTATCTCATGTTTCTCAAGAAATACTCATGGAGAAGATGATTATGGGTTTTAAAGATTCTGTGAGGCCAAAGAAATAAGATAGAAAGTATATAGTTTTAATGTTACCTATTGTTAGTATGTACTCTCGAATACAGACAGGGGGTGTTTAGGAAATTAAATTTGACCACTAATGGGGGGGTGAGTGGGTGTTAAACACACATGTACATTATATGTATATTAATATACAACATTACACTCACCAAAATGAGCAGATGAATAAAGCACATAAATATTATAACACGAATATGAGTAAGTAATATACGGTGTTCACAGAAGAATAATCACCTTTTTTACGAGATTGTAGTTATTTCGAAGAAGTGTATGTAATATATAGAGTGTTTGCAGAAGAATAACCATCTTTTTTTTACGAGATGTTAAAGTTATTTCGAGTAAGTGGAAGTCATACATAGAGTATTCATAGAAGAATACGAGATGTTAAAGTAATTTCGAGTAAGTGGAAGTCATACATAGAGTATTCATACAAGAATACGAGATGTTAAAGTTATTTCGAGTAAGTGGAAGTCATACATAGAGTATTCATAGAAGAATACGAGATGTTAAAGTTATTTCGAGAATGTTTTTGGTATGGTAATACAATAAATATATTTAGTTGAACGCTTGATCACATCACATTTACAAAGTATAAATGAAAGAATTGTGATTAGCATATAATAAAGCAGTTCAATGATTTTTTTCCTTCCAAATAAAATTCTCTAATTTTGTGTTAAGCGAAAAAAAAACCGTTTGATATTAGCGATCCATGCATGAGTTGTGTACTTAATTCACTCTGCATTTATCATAGAAAACGTATTATGGTTATTTTTCCATCTTTCGGCGTTTATTCGCACCACGTTAATCAAAGCAATGTTTCGGGATTATATATTTGTTGAAAAGCGGAAATCCCGTGTGAGTAATATTACCTGAGGCCTGGATTTTAGTTTTCTAATAACGGGTAGAAGGTTTAAATCTTTTGGCATCGGCTACAAGTTTAAGATGAAGTCGAGAGGAAATTAATTTTGTTTTTCTTTCCCGCCATTTATTCTTGACTTCTGAATTATACACATAATTAAATTTTTGAAAAATATTATTTAGCTCCAATTTAGCCTTTTCAGTCCCAAATCACTTGTTTAACCACAGTAACTCACCTCCATTTCACTGTACCCTTTATTTCAACTACAGCAGTGCAACGTTAAATTGAGTTATACATATTTTTAATTACAGCAACGCGACTGAAATTGAGTTATATGTATTTGAGTTATATTTATTTACAAGGTAATTAAAACTGGTTAATTTAAAAAGGGGAATAGGGATCGTGAAAAAAGTACAGAGACAAGTTGAATCAAATGCAAAGATTATATTTCCAGGCCTACAACTAGGGATTGTAAAAAGGTAAACAAACTAGGTTGAAAATAGTGTCTACATTATTTTCTCAAGCTATATATCCCTATTTTGGCTCCACTAAAATTTATAAGTACTGTAGACATGGAGTCAAAATAGGGATTTGTAACTTGAGAAAATAATGTAGACACTATTTCCAGCGTAGTTTGTTTACTTTTTAGAGTCCCTAGTTGTAGGCCTGAAAATACAATATTTACATTTTTGCTGTAGACATGGAGTCAAAATAGGGATTTGTAACTTGAGAAAATAATGTAGACACTATTTCCAGCCTAGTTTGTTTACTTTTTTAGAGTCCCTAGTTGTAGGCCTGAAAATATAATATTTACATTTTGATTCAACTTGTCTCTGTACTTTTTTTGACGATCCCTATTCCCCTTTTTAAATTAACAAATTTTAATTATCTCATTTCTTGAGTTTGTTATGTCCATTTATGGAGAATAAAGTCTAGGCTACATATGTTACATGTTTTTCAACAGTTTACTGCTATATTGGCTTTGTTTTTCCAACCAACTAATATTTACTGAGCTAGGTGGTTTTGTGCCTGAGGTTTCGTGTAAACACGCGTTTAACAAGCGTCTATTACAAAGTAAGCCGCTCACAACAACATCACATATATTACGTTTTTATAGTCACGTAAATCAACTTTCAATGAAAAATAATCAACTTTTTAAAAGTCATAGACATTCGCAGCATTTCATATAGTATATCTGCCTAGATGTTAATGCAAAATACCCAACCAATTTTACTGTATGCTTGTGAAACGAAAATCTGAATAATGATGATAAAATAATACTGAAATAAACACTCACAATTTCAGCGAAGTACGAAAATCAGTAGAATAAATCCCCACTCACAAGGGTAGAAAAATCTACTATGATGATCGTCTACTATTAGAAAACGCACTGAAATAGTCACAGAAAACCACATAGCGACAAAGTACAACAGCGAACTCGAGAAACGATTAATCCTCAACCTAGCAGTTTCAAATTAATGCGCTATAGTAAAACACCGGATTTTTTCAATGGCGCGAAGTGAAGGACTTAGAGAAATTCTTCAGGGTGAAAAAAACGGAAGGCTCTTAATTAATTCTAAAACTACCCTATGACATACTGAATACTACATTCATTAGTACTACCCAAGTTTCAGTAAAATATTCGTAGCCGTTTTTTTCTGTAGCGGCTTATAAAACTATAATTAATAATAATATGGCTGGATGGAGACACTGTTATAAATATACACATATTTTACTCTTATCAAACTAAGCATTTCTGATTAGTATAAAAAGGAGCATTTCCGACTAGTATAATGGTGATTGAATGATTTCGAAGAGCTTATGTTGGTAACAAAGAAGAACTTGAAAAATTTTTGAGGGTAGAAATCTCGAATTTCAAGAATCAACTGAAAAATAGTCCAACAACCTTCATAGGAGTTTGTTTAGTAGCTGTGCATAAATTTTGGCGCAGCATACCTACCCGTTTTTGCTGTAAGCTTTGGTGTTTGAATGGCTTCGAAGAAAAACCTTTCCCAGTAATGATGACAAAAACTGATAAGCTCTCTCCCTTTCTTTCAAGAATCAACATAAAAATAGTCCTATGACTATCGTGGTTCATATTAATCACAGTAACATGACTGAACTTGACATATAGTTACTTTTAACCACAGCAACGTAAATTAAGGTAAATATATACATGTTTACAACGTGAGCAAAATAACTAACGGTTGAATAAAATACACATTTTTTTAACCACAGAAACGCAACTTAGAGTTTAGTAAATACTTACAGTGTTGAAACTTCAAGAGTGAGTATAAACCACAGTAAAGAACTTTATGGTTGGGCATAAACTATAAGCTGTATATACCCAACTCAATACCCGTGTAATACCTATATAAATAATAGATGTCAGCCAATGTTTCTAGTTGTTTCTCGATGACTAGTGACAAACTTGCCATCTGGTGAGATTAGCTTGTCAGACAATGTTAGTGTGTGAAATGCATTAAAAATGTCATAACTGGTAATAATTGTTATTTGTCTCCAGTAGTTACTGGTTCTAGGATTAATAATGAAATGTTTTGTCTAGTAATTATTGGTACTAGTTTATATGTGGTTGGTATGGTTGTGTTGGGTGGAGATGTTGGTTTATGTTTGATATATCTAGGCTTACTTACTGAATATCTGGTGTTTTTCTAGTAATTTCTGTATGGTTGGAGTATGTGTGTGTGTGGGTGAAGGGAAATCTGGTTTACGTTTGTATCTGATAATGGCAAAACTTTGTCGAAATATACAATTGTGTTAAACTGTTAATAGTATTTTCTCCGTTACCCATTCAA